CTATCTATCTATCTATCTATCTATCTATCTATCTATCTATCTATCTATCCATCCATCCTTTTCTCTCTTCTCTTCCACCACTCTTGCCAATCAACTCTCTACCATGTATCCATCCATATATCGATCTAGCCTGCCTCTTCTTTTATCTTTCCAACCCATTTTCTACCCTGCCCTCCATCCATATATCTTGGCAATGTTTATTAAGTACTTAATAACTACTTTAAAATTGAATTCAGCAAACACAGAAGAATCTCCTAAGGCCTGTGTCACTTCTCTCAAGAAAAACCTTCATTTCTTAGAGATGAACTCAGAGCTGGGTTGACGAGGCACAAGTCACGCAGCTCTGTGTAGGAAGATGAAATCACCTGGCGACCGATGATACTTTAATTTACATAATCGGAACATCCTCTATTACACATGCAGTCATACCTCCTATCCCGAGGAAGGTCACTTTGGATACAGGTCCTGGAAGCTGTGAGAGGAAATAAACCAGTGTGGCACCATGTAAGTAAAGTTAATCAAGATTGCGTTTCTATAGTCTATACAATTAGAAGTCAGCCTGTGCAGGACGCTACAGAAGATATTGCTTTTAATACCAGTAAAAAGACCAATCAAAGTAATCTCTAAATGTGGCACTGTTAATTATAATCATGTATTTGTATTGCAGAATAACATGATCAGATTTCAAATAGTGTCTAAAATATCATCCAAAGTTCTGAAAAATCACAGTGTGAAGATTGAACAGAGAAAAGAGTTATTAGATAGAAACTCCATGGCAGGGACGTTGACATTATGATGTGGAATAACAATGGGAAGAAAAAAAAATTAAATTTTATCTACAGGACTATCCTGATACAGTAGTTTATATTACTATTATAAACAGTGTAGAATAAAACTTCTACCTATTTTCTAACTTTTCTGACTTCCCACTAGTTTTACTCCTTAAAGAAATAACGATAAGGTATTCCCAACACCTTCATGACTTTCACAAAAATGTGTGTGAAACAATGACTTTCCCTCAAGTCTCAAACATAAAAGTCTCCTCAGCAGCCAGGCACGGTGGCACACACCTTTAACCCCAGCGCTGAGGCAGAGGTAGGCAGGTCTCATTGAGGTCAGGGCTAGCCTGGTCTACACACTGAGTTCCAGGCTGGTCAGGGCTACACAGTGAGACTGTCTACTCACGCGGCCCAAATGAACGTTCCATGGCTTAAGTTTTTCCTGAATTTACTTATAAGTCAAATCAATTCGGTGGACAACGGGGTGAATCTCACACTTGGAGATCCATTTTAAGTTACCGGAATCTTTTCTCTATTCCCAAAGTTTTCTTTAGCGGGTGGGATCGGGTCTCTACCGTAGACTTGTGCCCAGGGGCCTTGCTGGGGAGACAGACTCCTGGAACGCTGGCTCTCACCACCTCTCCTCACACTCTCCCAGTGTGGAAAGATCGGAAGCAGGCATCTCTTTCTCATTTCCCAGCTCCTCCCTGAGCGTGGCTGCCAGAGCTGAGCGCCACCAGTGAAGGTGGGAACAGAATCTGACACTCAGAGCCCAGACAGCAGAACCTGTGCCGGGCTGCACAGACTGAAGCCCCAGCATCGGAAATCCAAACCCCCAGATGCAGCCTGACTTGGGGCATGCTCATGGCGTCATCCGGCCCCACCGGATGCATCAAGGCCGAGCGAGCCGCACTGAGGAAGTGTCTACTAGCACAGGGAGGCGTCTGATTGGTGAGAAGGGCGTATGGTCAGAATCACGCGTGTGCCACCCCACCGGCACCCTACAGCTGGGATCAGCAGACAGCACTTTCCCGAGCCTTAAGTCTCGCTGGCGTGAACATACCTCTTCCACCGGGCATTGTGACCGCGCACTAGTCATGAGTGCTGAGGGAGAGAAAGAAGGGGTCACCGAGAGGAAGGGGAGAGGGCCAGCCCGCTGCCTGAGCTCCACCGGGGCTTCAGCAACGCCTGCCATGACGATGGGGTATCGCCTCCATTCTCAAGGGGCTCGTACTAAAGCTCCCTCTGTGGGGAAACCTCCAAGTCCCCACCGCCCTGCACACTTAAAGGAAAAGGAAAAGCTGACGAAGTCGAGATGCTGATTTGTATTGTCACCACCAACCCCGAGGCCTCTAGGTTTTAGTCGGATTGTAAGCCTGGACGGGCCATCTTTGATCCTGCTCGAACCACAGGTCAGCAAGCCCACACTCTCGAAGCTCTCAGGGCCAGGAGCAGTCTGCTTCCCCAAACAGTTTGGCTCCTTGTGGAACTGGGCTGTTGGATGTTAGTCCTGATCCATCCTGACCCTAAATAATTTAAAATTATCTATTAAATTATTAGTTCCCTCTGATAATTGTGGAGGGACTTGTGTATCCTAAATGTCCTTAGCATGGAACCACTCTCCTGGTAAAAGTCAGAGTATAGAAAGCTCTACGGCTACATTCTGGGCAGGGCGTGAGCGGGGCAGGTGCCTGGCATAGCGGACACCCGGCTCCCAGCCACAGCCTGCTCTGCCTTGTGAGCTGTTAGCCTCCCTGCTACAGCTTCCATCAACTCTGCACAGGTTAGCTCACAATATGCTCCCTCGTGTTGGGGAAATCTGAATTCTAGGGATCTATTTGTCTAAAAAGTTAACGAAAGGTCCAAGAGTCATGGCACACACCTATAATCTCAGCACTTGGAGGCAGGGGAATCACTGTAAGTTCAAGGCCAGCCTGCTGTATACCTGAGATATGTAAAAACAAAACAAAACAAAAAAGAACAAACAAACAAACAAAAAAACCCCATGACTTTAAAAAAACAAGGTGAACAAATAAACAGAAAAAAGAAATATTAGCTATATCTAATTAGCACACATAAAAAACTTTAAAAATATTTAAAACTCATAAGAATGAATGCCTGGAAAATGCCCACAAAAGCCTGGAACCAGAACCAATATTAAGGAGTCTGAAGAGCAAGCGGCTGTGAGCTATTGCTTTAAGAGAGTAGTGCAGGCTGTCTTCTTGCCACGGTTAGACCATCGATCCATGACAGTAAAACAGACATCAGTCACTGTGTGCATGGATGGTTTGCTGCATGTATGTCTGTACTCTACATGCCTGGAGCATGCAGATGTTTGTGAGCTGCCGTGTGAATGCCGGGACTACAATTGCGGACACAGATGTTTGTGAGCTGCCGTGTGAATGCTGGGACTCACACCCAGGATCTGGAAGAACGTCCAGCTCTTAAGCTGGACACAGCTTAAACACAGACACACGCAGTCTTTACGATGTGAGCGAAGATAGGAATTAAAGACAAATCAGCCATTAGAACCCAAAGCGTAGCTCGGTTTCCCTGCTTCATGTCCGCCTGTCTCCCTCGGCTAGGGCCTCCTCTCCAGAGTGACTGCTCATCCTCAGCAGCCTACAGATAGGTCCTCTCTGCTTGGCTCTGTTGGCCTCTCTCACACCAGCCCCCGCTTTTTTTAACTTCATCCCGTCCACTCTTTAAATGTTCTGTGGTCTCTGCTGTCTCCACTGACCCCCAGGCCTGGCGCCCTCGGCCTGTCCTCTGCCAGCTTTTGCCTGGCCTGCGGCTGCCCTGTAAAGAGCCCACGCTTCCACGGCAGACTCCATCAGCCCCACGGCGGCCGCCTCCTGGCCTCCCCAGCTGCTCTGGCCTCGCTCTTTCAGTTTGTCCTGCCTCTTTCTCCTCAGCTGTCTTCTCTAAACCTTGCACAGTCCGAGCAGACTCCATCGTGGGGAAGCTATGGAGTTAGGAACTCCAGCAGAGTCCTCACATGCCGGGAAGGAGAGGGAGCAGGCCAGGCCGGGCAGCACTGCCCTGTCCTCAGCAGCCGAGGATTTACACAGCACCACACATCTCCGCTACTGCCCCTCAACTGTGAGAGACAGCGTTGCCATCTCCCCAGCCACGCGAGTGCTGGGGACAAAAAGCCGTCCCCTGAAAGGGTGCAGGGGCCTTCAATCCCTGACCTTCTCTCTGCCCCCAAATGATGTGTTTTTATGAACTGCCACCGATCAACTTTTCACTGTAACTGGTCAAATGCATCTTCTCCGTGATGTGCAGACGCTTTAAACTCATACGTAATATTAAATGTCGTATTCCCCAAAATAGGGCATCTTCTTTGTGTGGTAATCTACACTCCAATACTGGGAAAAACATCTAAAAATCTCATCTTTTTCTATACTAGGTAATCTGTTTAAATTAAAGACCTTTTCAGAGCCTCTATTTACAAAATGTTAAAATCCTATACCAACAGAAAATTACAAAGCACCAGCTAAGAGGTAAAGATATAAACTATAAATGTTAAGTCTGGAGAGAATATTACTTCTGTTTTTATATGAGAAGTATGAGCCTATTCCCCCTCCCCCCAAGACAGGGTTTCTCTGTGTAGCCCTGGCTGTCCTGGACTCACTCTGTAGACCAGGCTGGCCTCAAACTCACAGAGATCTGCCTGCCTCTGCCTACAGAAGTGCTAGGATTACAGGCGTGTGCCATCACCTGGTGAGCCTGTCTTTATAGGCATTTATATAACTTTTTCCCCCTTTATTTTTCTCTTTTAGTTTTTTTGAGACAGGGTTTCTCTGAGTAGTTCTGGCTGTTCTGGACTCGCTTTGTAGACCAGGCTGGTATACCCCTCCCAAATGCTGGCATTAAAGACATGTGCCACCATATAGCTTTAAAAAATTTCATGAAGAGACCAAATTAACCACAAAAGACAGGATATAATATTCTTTTTGTTTTTTGTTCTTATGAATTTGGCTGGCCTGTGTGTCTGGGTGCCATGTGCACACAGCGCCCCTGAGTCCAGCAGAGGGCGTTGGATCTACTGGAACTGGAGTTACAGATGGGTGTGAGCACTGAATACAGCCAGTGATATGAGCCACTCCGCCATTTCTCTAGCCCAGGGCATACTTTTTTAAACTCAGCAGACAGATATCTCTTACTTTAGACAAATTATTACACAAAATTCTATCTGCTCATAGATAGTGCGCTGCCAGATTTAGGGTTCCGTTTTTGTTTTTTAAGACAGGGTCTCATGTAGCCCAGGCTGGCCTCAACGTCCTTATGTAGCCAAGGATGACTGTGAACTCCGGATTCTCCCCTTTCCACCTCCCAAGTGCTAGGATTATAGGCGTGTCGACCATGCCCAGCTCCAGACTTTGCTTTAAGTTGCTTGATTCTATGAGGGAAAGGTATAACTCTGAGATACTAGCTTATCAACCAACGACAGGTGAAAAAGTAGCTCCTGAAGTGTGTTCCTTGCCTCATAGGAGAAGCTTCACTTGTTGGGTCCTTTGCAGATTCATCATATACAGTCACTCACTGGAATCTAAGCCATTGTTTATAATGACTATGAGGAAAACACAGAACAGAAAACAAACTTACATCTCTTGATTACCGCTCGAATGGACGACAAGGCTCCTTGGCTAGAAAGAGAGAGAGAGAGAGAGAATGTGTTACATCAGACTTGTGGAGAATGGCTTTTTACAATGCAATGTCATTTGAGGGCATGAGACACTAGTTACTAGCCTCTTTGCAGAACAAAAATTAATGAAAAACTTAAAATTGCCTTTTATATCATGATGCCTTAAAATCGCTTTCACAGAAACCTACGGATTACATCTCCCAGTGACAATCTGGGCATGCCCCCTCAGCAGAGTGTGCTGTTACAGAAGCTCAAAGTTCTCCTGTAACCTTCCCGCAGACCCAAGTGCCTGATCTGAATCCATTTGACCTAGGGCCAGCAGCGTCTTCCTCAGACCAGGCTATAAGAAACCTCAGGCCAACAAAGCAATCCCCTGCTTTCTTCAGGTGCTGTTTAGCAGCTGGCTGCAGCCTCCTGTTGTCTTTCTGCTGTTCTTCCAGTGGCTACGATTCTCTAGCTACAAAGTGTTTCATGTTAATGTTGTCTTTACTCAAATCAAATGGTCTTTGGAACCATTAAAAAAAAACAAAAAACAAAAAACAAGACAACATGAAACATGAAAGGATTTAGGGGAAAACAACAAAGAATTTGTTTATGATATTTCTTACTCTTTTAAAATGTTCTTTAAAAATTACACTTGCTGTGGTGGTTTGAACGAAAATGTCCCCCCATGAGCTCAAGTATTTGAATGATTAGCCACCAGAGCATGGAACTGTTTGAGAAGGACTGGAAGGGTTAGGGGGTGTGTCCTTGTTGGAGGAGGTGTATTGTGAGGGGTGGGCTTTGAGGTTTCAAAAGCCAATATCAGACCCAGTGTCTGTCTGTCTGTTCTCTGGTCATGGTGTCTTCTCATAGCAATTAAGTAACAAACATACTTGTTGTAAAAATTTATGTTCTTTCAAAATTCACCGTTTCCCAAGTAGGTGAGCTGAAACTTCAGTGTATCAGTTCTGAATGGAGCCTCTGAATGGAGCCTCTGAATGGAGAGGTCTTTAAGAATAAACTTGCTATGGTTTAAACACATCTCCCACAAAACATGCAATCAGAGGCTTAACTCCCGGGGGCCATCACTGGGAGGACCTAATTAGGGGCAATGAGGTGTCACCAAGCAGACAGCAGTGAATTCACTGTAGACGAGCAGAACTTGGTCCCATTCACACACACTCTGTCACCTGACCCTCTGCCTTCCACAAAGAGGCCAGTTCCTACGCTGTGGACACTCCCAGCTCGAGGAGAACCAGGAGCTAGTAAATCTCTACTCATTATAAATGACCTGGTCTGTGGCACCTGTCAGGACAGTACAAAGTGCCTGAGACGGCGGTTCTCGGCCTGTGGGTCGAGACCCCTTTTGGTCACGTATCAGATGTCCTGCATATCAGATGCTTACATTATGAGTCTCAACAGTAAAGCTTACAGTTATGGAGTAGCAACAAAAGTGTTATGGTTGGGCTTCACCACCACACGAGAAACTGTGTTAAGGGGTCGCAGCGTAGGAAGGCTGAGGACCACTGAACTAAGATAACGCGCTGCTTCAGACGGGAGAGGCGAGCTCTAGAGGCTCATGACAGCCAGAAGCAAGAGTGGTTTGGCGCTCTTCACTTCTGGTTGTACATGCAAATGGAGAGAGGACTTCCTAAAGGCCCACAGAACAGGTACTGAAAAGCACATATCTCATGTCCCAGAAAACCAACAAGCAAGAAACAAAACAGGTTCCACTATGGCATTTTAATATAGGCACATAATGGACTTTAACCATACTGAGTTCCCATTCTCTTCCTTTTTCCCACACTCCAAATTTTACTCCGTGACTACAACTATGATCTACTACATTTCAGAAACTTGTGATTGTAGAAACAGAGCTGTGGCCAGTCTGGTTTGCACCCTCCAAGAGAAAGCAAGTGAGCTGTGGACGAGCTCGCGCTTTTGTTTGTGTACACGGGATGTAACGGACAGCATCATGTTTTAACTTTTTAACTAAAGCGATGCAGAATGTAACAGAGAGAAGGAAGCACTGTAAGTGCTCTGTTCCACAGATAGGAAGGGACAATGGTATTTTAGTAGTCTACATTAACACCATATCACAATATGCTAGGCTAGATGTAACACTGAAAAGCAGAAAAAAGTGTAGCTGAGTGACTTGAGTCCCACAGTTCTGAGATCTGGGTAAGCTTCAGACCTGAGGTGGGGAACAGAGACCTGTAAAGGGGAGCCAGGGACAGAATTGGCAGAGCGCTGCTCAGCACAACATTTGATTTCTAGCACCAAACAGCAGATGCGGGCACAGGCCTGTGAGCCATCTCTCTGGAAGTGGAGGCAGAAGGAGCTTCAAGCTCACCCTCAGCTACAAAATGAATTTAAAGCCAACTTGGGCTATATGAGACCCCACATAAAAGACAAAACACAAACAAACGACCCCCCCCAAACAACAACAAAAACAAGACAAATAAAACTAATTGTAGGCTGGAGAGGTGGCTCAGGCTTTAAGGGTGCTGGCTGCTCTTCCAGAGGTCCTGAGTTCAATTCCCAACATCCACACGGTGGTGATATCTGGTGCCCTCTTCTGGCGTGCAGGTCTGCATGCAGACAAGACACTATACATAATAAATAAATCTTAAAAAAACAAAAACAAAAACAAAAACACCCCCCACAACTAACTGTGCTCCAGCTGGAGTGACTTCTGGGGAGAGGCACTGGCCACACCTAAGGGGGTAACACGCGTCACGTGCTCACCCACAGGCCACCACGGAGCTCCATCTCAGCCTCAAGGAATGGTTTTCACTAAAACTAAAAACTGCGACCAAACAAAAAAGAATTTCTGACATGGGCGTGATGGGCACACTTAAACCCTGGCTGGTGAGCCTGAGGCGAGTTCTTAGTTACAGGTCCCTTCAGCTGCTTGGCAAGCTTGTCTCAACAGCAAGCAAACCAAGCAAAACACCAAAGCGAAGCAAAAACAAACACCCCTCCCCCAACCAAACCTCTGAAATCTACAAGGAAAAGTTTCATGAGCTCAGATTCCCTCACTTTGATCACCGAGGGCCAGTTTCTAACGCTCAGACAATGCCACTCGGTCTCAGTGGGCTATATAAAGAAAGGAGTGGGGTGGCGGGGGCCGCGCTGAGGGACGGGTCTGGGGTGCGGGGCGCTGCGTGGGTAGGATCAAGACACAGCACATACAGATATGGAATTGTCAAAGAATAAGTAAGAATATTCTCAAAAAAGGTCAAATACAACACCAAGTTTCACCAGACACTTTCTAATCTTCTTCAAAGATAGACAAGCCCTGTAAAGGATGGGTACAACTAATTTTAATGAACTGTTTTCCTCTGCCACGTGTCTGTGGGAGACAAGGCTGGCAGGACGTGCTGAGCGGACGCGCTGACTGGGGCCACATCAGTGTCGAGAAAGGTAAAACTCCACAGCTGGCTAGAGACGTACTTCCGTCGTGAGCAGCCCTGTCTGTTTGCTCCCTGTTGCTCTTTTGCCTGTGAGATGAACATACGCTGTCTAACTTCCTGGCTGCCAAGAGTTAAAGGAAAACAAATATAAAAATACCTTAGCACACAGCTGGCACATGTCAGACTTAAACTTGTTGCATTTCCTTCCGGACTTCCCGAGGTTGGGATTTCTGTAGTTCATAATAAAGGTGGCTGAAATTTTGTTTTGTTTTTGAGCTAGAATCTCCTGTGTTCTGGGCTGGCCTTGAACTAATCCTGTGGTTGAGGGTGACCTTGAACTTCCGGTCCTCCACCGCTGGAATGCTGGGATTACAGGTGCCTGCCCCATGCTGGACGACCCGCTGCCGTGGGCACTCAGGGCTTCCCCTGCGACAGGCGCCTCGCCCGGCCAGCGGGGTCTTCAGAGCTGCCGGGACCCCGAATGGCCGCTAGAGCTGCCGCGCCCCATCTTGGAAGCAGAAATGTTTTGCATTCCAGTTGGAGTTTCCACTCCCGTTTACTGCCCTAGTCGCGCACACAAAGCCTAGTTCTTGGAGCGGCGTCTCTTCCGAGTCCAGAGCCCCGAGGACGGGGGACGGGGGGACCGCAGGACCGCAGGCGTTCGCGCGTTCCCCACCGCACACGCGCTCTGGCAGGTCACCCAGCGTGCGCCCCGCAAGACGGCTGCGCCCATCAGTGGCTCTGCGGGCTTAGCTTCACACTGTCTAAGTCTTTAAAAAGAAATTCTATAAAAAGTTCAAAGATCGTGGAGAAGGCTTTCGACTGTTCTAACTACAGAACATTGGAACTGGGGTGCGCCGCCCTGTCCTCGAATTCTCTCTGACACACACGTGCCTGCCCTGACTTTGTTAGACCCAGTTTTCTCCCTGTCTTCCCAGGGCAGCGGCTGCACTGTGGGCTCGCTGAGCCCGAGCCGAGGTGCACGTGATGCCCACAGCCCCCTCGGCGCACACAGGCATTCTGCCGCTGCCGCTGTGCTGTCGGTGCCAGCGGTGATGCCCGGTCACACGCACGCCCCGCCCGCGGTGTCTGCGTCTACAAACAGGAGCTGTTCGCTGGGCCTTGTGGCACCGCATGCAATCCCAGCCCCGTGGAGGTGCGGGAGGAGGCTGGGGAGTGCTCAAGGCCAGTCTGGGCTGCACAGTGAGACCTCAGCTCAGGAACTCCACAACCTGGGGACACAGGTCAGGGGTCGAGCACGTGTCCCCAAGCCAGCACCTCGGAGAAGAGCACATGGTACTCCCTGGAGGGAAGTGTGGCAGGGAGGCTGCTTTGGGCTCCAGCATGTCACTGGTGACAGACACGAGCAGCTGGGTGTCCGTGCAGGGAGTTTCAGAAGCGAGTGCTTTACGCCTGTTTTCGTTTCTTGGCTGCATGTTATCTTCAAGAGCCGGACCCTGGCAGCTCCCAGGGAACCCGGCACAAGCGGGTGCTGCTGGCTTCACGCTACAGGTAAACGGCGACACACCGTGATGTTCGTCACATCAGGCGAGTCCGGCTTGCCCTATGACGGGGAGCAGGCACTGCTCGAAGGGCAAAGAGCGGTATGGCATAGTGTCTGGCCAGCAGAGGAGGGCA